TGTATATCAAATTATATATATACGTCACGATTATCCAATGAAAAGCGACGTTACAAACGTGCAGTTTTATAAAGTTTTATATACACGACTGCTGTCGATTCATGAAGAAATCTTACTTTTTTCTCTAAAAATGATGCTTGCTGTATTATATTCGTTATAAAGATTGTTGACAGGTTATATGGCCGTATTTAAACGGCTGTTTGCAATATAACCCTCGCCTAACAGCTCGGGTTATATTTACAAATAGTTGAACGAATATAAGTGTTCAGCTGATACTTTCACATACACCGAGACACTACAGCATCAATACTACACTATGTTTATTGCCCTTTGTTCCTTTTCTAGCATAATTTATGTCCGAACAAGAACTCATAAAATTTAAGAGATATTTATTTGTAACTTCATTTTAGGATAGGCAACAATAAAGAGGTATGCAAATTGCAAAAAATGACGACACTCTACTCCATGGTTTTAAAGTAATTGTCCTTTTCTATGCTGAAATTTCAAGGGCCATAATCCAAAACGCTTTTTTAAAATACCAAGTTGAAACTTCAGCGGTGAATAGATTTGTTAGATTGGAAATGCTTTTCACTCAATATCTTTAAATTATTGCCCTTTATTATATTTTGCTCTCAATTTTGTCCAGGCTTTAAACTCAGACTCTCTTATAAGTTTTGCCCTCTGCTGTGTATTCTTAATGCTATGTATGAAAATTGATTTTTTTCGTAGTTTTTCCTGTTCGTTGGGGTATTTGGCTCAATGCAAAAAGATTAAGTTTACTAAAATAAGAATTAGAGAATGGTCTGTAGAAATGTTGAAGTAAAATAAACAACTATTATAATTATTATCATGATACAAAATACACAAAAATTTGAAAATTGAAAAAATAAGAAAATGAATCGATTTATGTCTAACATGTTTGCTTCCGAGTAACAGACTAACTTATATATCTATAAGGAGATCCAAATTCTTTTGATTTTACAAAATAACAAAATAAAATAAATGAATAACTATTTAAAGAATAAATAAATAAATAAATAAATAAATAAATAAATAAATAAATAAATAAGCAATTACAAAGTGCTTATCGTTCTATATGTGACAGTCAGTGACATCAATTGTTTCTCTGGAAATGTGCACGTTTAATGTGTTGGGGGTATTATGGATGTCGACGCATACTTAATGTCAATGTTAACTGCTTTATTCCGTATATTATTGCGGTTGAATTATAGTCCCGTATACAGCTCACACCTATTTAGTCGTATACGGCGTGCATTGGATATGGATGATATGGATAAATCTATTCACGTGGAATTAGAGTTGTTTGTTAAGACAAAATATCTGGCGCTTTATATAAACTCTAGAAATCTTCAAGAGTAATGTGACGTCCTCGGCATTATATATACTGTGACGTTCTCTAAAGTTAATTTACTTCATTGTTCATTTGCAGAAGTAATTTATTGATATGAATATTTAACAATAGAGTTTTGTTAGTATAATTATGTGATGTATTGCACTGTATGTATTAAATATCCCATTGCTCTGTATTGTTTTTTTTCTCTTTATTATATGCTTTTCGGTGGTTTATAGAAATATATCAGTGGTATAAAACTGTTTCCAACAGTGAAATTACCACTTTGATAATTTCTCTGTTTTGAATTTAAGCCCCTTACGTTGTTTCAGTGAAATACCAGCGTGCACAGTACTGGGTACTAACTTAACGACGTGACGTCGTAAATGACGTCACGTTGTATTATTTTTTGGCGCGCTTTTCATTCAGTATTAGGTTTAATGTCTTTTTAAAACGTTTCTTTGCATATAATAAAAAGAAAATTTGTTGAGTTTAGTGTAAGATCGAAATTTATTACATGCTTTTCGATGGTTTATAGAAATATATCAGTGAATTAAAACTGGTAATTTCACTGTTTGAAACAGTGAAATCACCACGTTGATAATTTCACTGTTTTGAATTTAAGCCCCTTACGTTGTTTCCGTGAAATACCAGCGTGCACAGTACTGGGTACCAACTTAATGACGTGACTTCGTAAATGACGTCACGTTGTATTTTTATTTGGCGCGCTTTTCATTCAGTATTAGATTTAATGTCTTTTTAAAACGTTTATTTGCATATAATAAAAAGAAAATTTGTTTATTTTAGTGTAAGATCGAAATATATTTCACCTTGTGAACACCAAAAGTTCATATTTCACTCGTGACTGCGCCACTCGTGAAATATACCTTTTGGTGCTCACTCGGTGAAATATATTCCGATCTTACACTGAACTAAACAAATATCCTCTATATATTTCACCTTGTGAACACCAAAAGTTCATATTTCACTCGTGGCTGCGCCACTCGTGAAATATACCTTTTGGTGCTCACTCGGTGAAATATATTCCGATCTTACACTGAACTTAAATTTCAACATATTTGTTATGACGATGTTCCTATGTGCATGCAATGACCTCTGTTATGTTCTGCATAAAATGATTAATGAAAATCGGTTAATTAATACGCGTATACCTGAATCAATCAAACTTGGTGTTAAAATGGTGTTATAATCGTTTTTATATTCGATGGGGTCTGTGATTTTGTAGTTATAAGGATGAACGCCTGATCTTATGAATAGACTTCCATGTTATAATTACCCCCCTACTCCAAAGTCCGTTTGTCAGCAGTTATTTTTACTTCATGCTATTCAACATAATTATCCTAAAAAAGGCGTGCATATATCAAACAGACGCTATGCAATCTTCACTGAATTCAAGTACCTATTCAAGTGCAAATATAATTGACAAGCAGATAATACTGCGTTCCTCTTTAATATCATGTATATCACTAATAGATATTTAAAGAGATTAAATGATCTCCCAATTAGTTTAAAGTACTTTTTTATTTATAATTTTCTCTCCATCGATTCAAGAAACAAGATTTTGTTGAGGCATTAACATAATTTCATGCCTATTACCATCCACATTATATCAATAATTAGAAATGTAATAAAATTGTATTTTGTTAATACATGGACATTCTAGCTCAATGACAGTTGAAGAGCATGGCAAAAGTGTCCGTCCGTGCGAATGAAGTGTAATAGTATTATTGTCCCGACATTAGAGAAGGTATGAAAAGAATGAATTTCAACACATTTTAGAATGTACTAGTTTAAAGTTTATTTCTTAAATAAAAAAGAGAAAAGCTTTATTACACTTCATAAAAAGAGACCTCTGACTTCAATCAAATTTGCGTAAAAAGATTAAATAATTTATTTTTTAAATTATACGATATGTTCATGTTTCAATATATGTGAATACCACTATAGGCGATGACCATAAGAATGTCTATTCATTAGATTAAAATACACAGTTTGTAATTGATAGTTTTATATACTCAATCAAGTAATATATCTTTTATCAAACTTGAGATTAATTAATTCAAAATAAATTATTTCTTCTGTTTTTTTTTTATTCCGGGAGGACGACTATTGTACAATTCAGTACCGATCTAAAATTCTTTTCAAGTTTCGATGAATAACAAACCTTTTTCCCGCCGTAAATAACGGATTTGTTTATTCGTTCTAACCTTTAGATAATAGAATTGTATATCCTGATAATATATTATAGACAACAAATCTTTGTTTTACGAGACATTGTCTTTCAGTAAATAAACGATAGATTTGCATAGCTGACAAATTAGTAAGTGATACGTTTTTCCAATTTTGTATTTAATGTCTTAGATTAAATGACAAGTATTGGATAAACATGATTTTTTTTGTAATTAGGAAACTGATTTAGTATTGATATTGCCCATCAAAATAATGTACTTGAATGAATTACAGTTAGGTTCCTAACGAGTTCTCTATGTGTACCTATAAAGAATGAATATGAATAATAATCTTTGTAGATATATACTTTGGTTGATATTTCGTCACGAGTCAATGCTTAACATTTTGGAAGTATTTTACATATTACTGATGTCATGCCCGTAAAGGTGCAATCTGAAGCCAAACTACTTGTTTTAACAAAAACAATTTAGCATAGCATAGCATAGCATAGCGCAGCGCAGCGCAGCGCAGCGCAGCGCAGCGCAGCGCAGCGCAGCACAGCACAGCACAGCACAGCACAGCACAGCACAGCACAGCACAGCACAGCACACCATACCAACACCAACACTAATACCCTACCCTATTCTACCGTAACCTACAGAGTTTCATGGTCCTGTTCTGTCCGGTCCCAACACGTACCATCAAATACCCACCGTTTAATAACTTTAATTGCAGTTGAATTTTCTACCGCTTTGAATTTAAATTGTTGATCAGCATTTTAGACACTGTAATAGCTGAAATGTCTTATCAGTTATTTTAGCATAGATAATTTAAGTGATACATATGTTGTGATTGATGTAATTTTTCTCCTTCTTCATTTTTAACGTTTTACATCAGATGTATTATGTTGTTTTGAAGACTAAGTACACAGTTTTATTTATATATATTTAACTATAAAAAGGATATATTGTAACGAAAAGTTTGTTGTACCAAGTATATGTAATACAATATAATACAATATAATACAATATAATACAATTTAGAGTCTTTCTTGGATGAATAAAAGACTTTAAATCTAAACTTCAAATTGGAATTTCCAGAGATTTCGTTGACGAAAAAAAGTTTAAGTTAAAATAAATAAGCGTCCCATCCGACAGGGACTGTAAATATTCGACCAGAAAAAGGTACATATTCGTTATTTACATGTACATTAAAATGAATGACTCTACAAACTGTTTTAAACTTAGTTTTTCAATTTATTAACTTTTATACAAAGATGTGAAGTTACACACTGTATAAATGTATTTTAAATTAGCTGACCCATACTTTGCAGCATAATAGAGTAATACGTTTGAATGGGACTGTAATTAATCATAATAAAAAACAACTAAAAATTATCATTCAATCGTTCTATCGCATATAACGTCTTACAGATATATCTTACAATAAGGGTAAAACAATAGACGGTGATTCGAATAGAACTGACGGATACTTTAAATAAGTATCACCAAACGATCGCTCGTAAAACAGCATTGTTAATACCCGTACTGAGATAATTCGATCTTTTAAGAGTTTCTTGAGATTGCGTTCTTTACCTTTTCAAAAAAGAAAAATATGTACGACACGAGTTAATACTTCACTGTTGCTAAGTTTACACGTGACATTTTCTAGTGTATCTTTTTAAGCGAAACTAATTACAGTTACATAATAATAATTAAAAAGTGGACTTTTTCCCCCTTAAAAATTGGATTAAAGCTTAAAATGGTGAGTTTTAAAAACTTTTTTCCGATAATAAACTATTTGCATCATGATATTTATTGGAGCGGCTTGTTTTAGAAAAAAATAATTGTTTTTTTATATATTTATAGATTAATATTAGTAAGATTTTTCTTTTTTGACAGCGAATGTATATATTTATATTTATGTAATGTACTATATTGACGTGATGTTGTTTTCATGATAGCTTTGACAAATTTGTAAGTTTATTAAAAAATGTAATTTATAGAGAGACGAATTTTTAATTTTTTGGTTTTTCTTCGGATCTTTCAATAATCGCGTTTATTTATTATAATTTATTTTAAACCTTTGTACTTTTGGCAATTGCTTTTGTCATATTTTTGTTAAACATAAAATAAAAAGTACATAAATGAAAATAAATGAATAAAGATATATAAATGAAACTAGTGTAAAAAACCAAAATAATTTAAAGATTTCAGTTACGAATTACTGAAAACTCAAAGCAAAAAAAAAAATTATCTCATTGTACAAGGTCAACCTCATGACCAGTGTGGATGAATATCTCGCGGTGATGTATCACAAACACGAGTTCGAACACCAATATAAACGCTAATTTCTTTTATGAGTAATGCGTATACAAGGTCGGTTTTCCACTCAGGTTCCGTCATGGTCGTAAATTTATACCCAGATGTGTGAGAGTCATTTCACCACTACATAAGATAGCAAATACCATTGTACCAATTCAGTGTCGATATGACTTAAAAAGCAACAAAAATCATAGCCTAGATGGTAAAAATATAGATTAAACAGTTTTATGACATTTTATGTTTGATTTGTAGATGTCGTATATAGTTGCGATCAGAAAAAATTGATCGGAGTAAAACGGAACTGATATCATAAAAGTACGAAATACTTGTGGGGACATTTCAACTTCACGAATTCCCGATTTCATCTTCATGAATTCACATGAATCATGAATTCACAATTTATTCTTCATGAACTCACGATTTCAACTTCAAGAAATTGAATTTCGTGAAATAATGATTTCAACTTCACGAATACCGATTTCAACTTCAGGAATTCTCGATCTCATTTTCATGAATTCACGATTTCAACTTCACGAATTCACGATTTCCACTTCACGAATTCATGATTTCATCTTCATGAATTAACGATTTAATTTTACAAATTCATGATTTCAATTTCTTAAATTCTCGAATTCAACATCACGAATTCAACTTCTTCAAATTTATAATTTCAACTTCACGAACTCACGAAATCAACTTTATGAATTAACGATTTCAACTCCACAAATTCAAGATTTCAATTTCCCGAATTCACGATTTCATCTTCATGAATTGAAGATTTCAATTTCACGAATTTACGATTTCAATTTCATGAATTCACAATTACAACTCCACAAATTTAACTCGCGAATTTATGATTTCAAAATCACGATTTCAACTTCATAAAGTTGAATCTTGAATTCATGAAGTTGAAATCGTGTGCTGAAATCTTAAATTTGTGAATTCTGTATTTTGAAAACTTGAATTCATGAAGTTGAAATTAAGAATTTCCGAAGTTTTAATCGTGAATTCATGAAGTTGAAATATCCTCACCTGTTTTCCGTATTTGATGGTGGCCATTCTATTATTTCTTGAACAATGTGGATTTAAAAAAATATTCAAGCGAATATCTTGATTGTGTTTATACAAAGATTTCTACATATTTTTGTTAACAAACGATTTGTTTTGTTTCGAATTCTTATCTCAGCCTGTCATGATGACAAATGTAATTCATGACTATTCACATGGTTTGTTTGGTACTAGAATAAATAATATTCGTTTTAAAATCACATTATGCCGTTTTTCAAAAGCTTTTTCATTTTGCTGTCCGGTTATATTTCTTTTTAAAAAATACACATTGTTCAATTACAGGTACCATATTTTGCTTATGTTGCTTATTTACAATTAGTAATAATATGGTGACGGAAGTCAAAATACTTCTTTATTTACATTTTGCTACTTTTATAACATATGATTTCAAATTCAGGGCTACTTTTTTCAAGTGATTTATAATCAACTTATTTTTTTAACATCATTATATAAACCTTGTAAAACTAATGATTGCTATATCTTAGACATAACGTGCCTTTAAGCTAGATTAAGTTAAATGTTTATTTTGTAACTATTTTGACTATCATTGATTTAACTAGTTGTGTCAGGTTAAGCCAGTTTATCCTCTTTTTTTTCACAATTAACATTGAAATGAGCCAAGTCACGACAAATCCAACATAGTGCGTTTGCGACCAGCATGGATTCAGACCAACCTGCGCATCCGCACAGTCTGATCAGGATCCATGCTGTTCGCTTACAAACCATATAACAAGTAGAGAAACTGATAGCGAACAGCATGGAATCTGACCATACTGCAGGGATGCGCAGACTGGTCTGGATCCATGCTGGTCGCAAACGCACTATGTTGGTTTTGTCGTGGCGCGGCTCAAATTTGAACTGCGTGTAGCAAGCAGAACACGAGATATATCGGACATATATTTTACAAATATAAGTTAGTAAAAAAGTAAGACAGTGGAGTGAGTGAGCTTGTAAATTTTCTGTAATCGTGACATTTTCATATTTGGTAATAAAAATAACAACAGAAAAAAAAACAAACATCAACAAAGAAACTCCCACAACCCAAAACAGCCCCCGAAAACAACATTCATTCATTTGGTCCATATCTATACCTAGGAATAAGTACATGCACGTTACACCATTGAAAGGTATGTGTTGAAGAAGTTTTTAAGCGAAAGAATTGCCTCGCATAAGGCATGCAAATATGTCATGTCGAGGTGGATTGAAGTTAAGAGCTTGTTGCACCTTTTAATTATATTTTCTTACCGAAGATATTACCTCTAAAACATACATCTGTCTTTTGTAAATATGCATGCAATCCAGCACCATCGATATATGAGCAAACCAACATCATGGGTTTGTGACCAGCATGGATCCAGACCAGCCTGCGCTTCCGCGAAGTCTGATCAGGATCCATGCTGTTCGTTTACACATCATATAACAAGTAGAGAAACTGATAGCGAACAGCATGGATCCTGATCAGACTGCGCGGATGCGCAGGCTGGTCTTCATCCATGCTGGATGAAAACGCATTACGTTGGTTTTGTCGTGACGCGGCTCATATATGAAACTAGAGGATATGAAAATCTTGCTTATTAAGATAGAGAATGTCTGTTCTGTGATATGTAGTAGAAACCGAGATTCATGCTTTGTTATAATGTCATATGTATGAGGATACCAGGAATGAATTATTCATTGAACCTAATTTTTATGATTTCATCTGAAAGCTTTGTTTACAAATAAGCCAGTAATTAGAAAATGCGCCTAAAACTGTCCTCGAAATTCTAACCAGAGTAAATATATGTCTGTGTAAATAAAGTATTTTTTCGTTTTAATGACAGGTTTAGTTGAACTCATACAATTTATATTGAGTAAACAAGATAGTTATTGTCATCTTTTGTTTTGTTTAAATAACGTTTTTGTACAATTTTAAATGTCTTAGTGGTTTATGGTCAGTAAATCTCGTAATTCTTTTATAGTTAATGGCTGTATGAATATAAATGTAATATTATGTGATTTATGAACGAGTGTACATAGATGAGACTGAAATAAAAAATATGTATACATATCTTTAATCATGCAAATAAATTTCTCAAATTCTGATAGGCATAAACACTCTATATACTATGCCGTATATATCTTGAAGAACCGAAGCACGCAAACATAACAGGGTATTTCGTTAAATTCGTGGGTGCATAAACATGCATTTTTATTGAGTTTTGTTCTTTATGGCATGTTTCCTGATTCAAATGTCCTTACTTAAATTAAGGTTACAAGGTACACCGCAATGATGACTACATACTTTTATTTCGCAGCGTTAGCGTAGCAGTAGATTACGTGCTTCTTTTCCCGCGCTTCTTTGAAAACAGTCTAAAATTGATGTTTTTTATGAACTTCTCGTCATTAAGAAGTTGCGTTATCATAATCTTGCCATACAAGTACTCGGCCATATTTATCTCATTCAGGCTATATTTTCCCGTATATTCCATCAGCAACTTATAGTATTTCTTTGTCGCTAATCGTTAAGGATGGTGTATCTTTGGTTTGATTACATTGTACTAATATCATTTTGTTATATCTATATATCTAAAGATTTGTTGATAATTCTCATATCTCAAACTGTTACAATAATTCACTTTAAGATAATTCTACGTAACGAAAAATAAAGAAATTCATATGATTTCATCACATGGCATTGGGGCAGCTAATTAGGATCTATCAAGCGTCTTTATTCTGCTCGTCTTTGAGATTTAAGCTATTTGCTTATGTCTTATGTTTAACAGAACATTTTGTTTTCGCATATGTACTTTTATATAGGAGTCAGGTGCACTTTGATTTAAAGGGAGCAAAGTTGTTCTCAGTTACAATCTAATGGCCGTGTTATTTGTTTTAATGTGTCATGTAAATATTGTCCTTCATAATAAATCTATTGTACAGGGCATTAAGATAATCTCAACTAATGGCAAATAAACTTACAGTAGTACATACAATAAACATACATTACGTGGTTCTATTTGGTCAATGAAAGGTGTTCTTGTTTTCAGTTTATATAAATGAATCTTTTCAGCAAAATATTTCAGGATTCATGTGATTTAAGAAAAACTTTCGAAACGATGAACATAATGTAAAATAAACAAATAAAGAATATAATCTAGACCTCACTTTCTATAGGAAGTATCTATTATATACCAGAAAACACATAAATATCCCTTAATTATTTCGTTAGTAAAGGAATTGTTAAATAATGGCAAATAAGTTAATATGACACGGATGTCCCCACATTACACTGTTTTGTCTGTCTATATACGGACAGCATGAAAGCGGTACGGACGGACGGAGGGCAGATCTATATGCCAACCTACCACCTCCCTGGTAGTAAGGGAATGACAACAG